AATGCAAGCTCGCATTTTTATTTGCCTTTTATACAGAATACCGTAAAAGGCGATTGCTTCACTTGTTGAATAATGTATTTAGTTTTCTATAGTTTTCGAAGAATATAGTTTCATAGAATTGGATTATATTATTATTATACCATTTCAAACTAGACGGTGGCGTCAGCGATGTTAATAATAAAAGACAAATTGTAGATCATAAACTAACTGCTGAGATTCAATAGTGTTAGTAATATGTTATGTATATATTTTTTTATCACGTTCGATGCCATGGATCAATGGAAGTGGAGATTATACATTGCGTTTGAACTTTTGCGAAATATCATTAGTAGTAAAAATGTTCAAACACAAAATATATGATTGTATTCGTATACAAGTGACAGAGTAATGATTAGTCTGTTATAGTACAACCCATATAGGGGTCTACCTCCTCGTATTGTTTGTTTATACGTCTTATATTAACATTTTAAAACTAAAAAGCTTGGCATCACTTCATAAATCAAATTCATCTTAACGATTTAACAGAGGATAGAAACATTTTTTTTGTTGTATTTTAGATAGACATTGACAAGTCTAATGAAGACTGTAGAAACCGTGACCCATACATTTTTTTGTCTTAATTATTAAATTCTAATTTTACTTCTTATCGTTTAATTTGTTTAATAGATGACAGCCGCAATAGACGCGTTAAAACTACTCACAGTATTTTAACAATGAATTTAAACATGACGAAAATCTAAAAACTGTGGATAATTAACGTTTTAATTCAAAATGTATTTTATTCGTGCAACTGTATTTGTTTACAACTGAACTTTTATTGGAATATATTAAACGAGTTATTGAAAATAATAACCATCATTATCGTGGAAATTTCTTTCGGCTATTGTGAATCGACTGTCCGAGTGACGAGTCCTCTTAACTTGTACTCGAAATTGCCTGTTGACTACAATTACCAGCCGTCTTCGTATTATTTCCAAATTTTTTTTTTAATCACCTAATTTGGGCCTCTCTTTATCGTATTTCTTACTTCAACTATTAGGGATGAACTATGGAAGTCATCCATCACTATTTATCATGATGATGTCTATTCGAACGCTTTAGATATCGTGGTCTAGTCAGTAAGATCAAATTGGTTTCAGTATGGATACCTACATCAGATTTGTGAGATATGCTTGTGTTGTGGTAAGTCAACCTGATCTGACCACTGTTGTATGATTCGGAAAAATTGAAAACGTCAAGTAGTAGTATTGCGTGGAGCACATGCGTGATGACACACTATGATCTAAGTAAACGCCGAGGAACCCACTGGTAATACGAACCGGGAAACGAATACGGCGACATATTATTTCCACTGGGAAAAGACCAATAAGGGAAACGCAAAATCACGTTATTCCCCGTAGTGTTTGCCTGGAAGACACTGAACCGACCACGAGTATATAATATATTATACATCTACACACTGGTTGGCCAGAAAGCCAAGACGTTTATTCACCGTCGGTCGGACGCCAACGCGATTTGTTCGGTTACGGCGAAATTATTCAAAAAGCCACGGCGGTCGCCTTGGTGGTAAATGAGCTACCCCTGACATACACTTTGCTAAGGTTTGTTTTTTGGCTCACTCGTGAAAAACAACACCGTTGTAGTATCTAGACAGACGAGACACGTTTTATAAGTGTCACACACACACACACTAATGCCGGGATTCCGGTACAAGGGAATGGCTCAATAGCAAGTTTCGCATTTCCAAAAGCCGTACTTACACTACTATTGCGCACAATAATCCCGTTGTCGGTGCCGGCGATTTAACAACGTCTGGGGCCGTGTAATACACTTCTTCGCACACCGAATCCGCTAATACAATAATATAAAGAAAGCCGGTAGGCATAATATAATATGCCTGAGTTCGAGCGACCGTGCACCGATTGCCGACGGTAATTGCAAACAAAAAATGTACGTGCCTCGAATATTGTATTGGTTTTTATTAAAGATCCGTATATATAGACTCCACACACACCACTACCTATATTCTCAATGTTTTCCTTCCGCTTATTTGAAATCTTTTTATATTTGTTTCACTTCAAGTGTGCCGGTGTGTGTACACAATACCGTGGCACTCGTAATAACAATGGCGATGCAAAACCGAAGAATTGTAAAAAATTACATACCTCCCCCAGCATCGTCTACCTCTCTGATCATCGTCGTTATATTTTATTTCACTATAATTTCATCAGTACTTCCAACATAAATCATTCGTTTCAGTGTTTTTTTTCTCATTAGCCAAGTTACTTAAGCTGTACATAATTATATAAACAGCGTACATTCGTTCCTATAGCAGTGTTGCTAAAATGTTAACTATCGTATATTTACATTGCTAAATAATATATTTCCGGTTTTGCTCTTTTACTAACTAAAATCCCGTTGTTCTGTTGTGCAATAATATATTCATGTGAAACTATAGAATATGTGTTAACTACAAAACTCATTAACATACGAGTGTGAGATTATAAAGCTATTAGTGCAATATGGAAAATCATTAACATACCAATTCCGGAATGTAAAGAGCGCATGGTATTCTAGCTTTAAACGAGTAAAGAAAATAATTTAATGTCATATTCTAGAGAGTTATATGGTAACACCTACTACTTATATTATTACAGTTTGATTGCTTAAGATACATCCGTGATGAGTGCGCCATCGAAAAGCTAATAAGATCGTTTATGTTGTCGTTCGTTTCCAAGTAACACGGGGATTCCTGTGGGATTTTCTCATCAATTTCCCAAATGCGACTGTCGTGTAAAGATTCCTGTGCATTTTAAATTCAGTTATCCTCAACAATGTTATAATATATTTATACTACCTATCCGAAAACAAATGGCCGATTGTTTATAAACTACTGTTTCGTTTGGCATAAATGAGTTAACAGGTGTGGGAGAGGGGGTATGTTTACTTTATTGCATCAAGAAAATGGAATTTATCAACGAGCCTCCGATCGAGATCAGAATAAATTTACATGTATTAATACGGTTTCATTCGTGGCAAACCAAATGAAACATTTATATTTCGTCCGGTTTACTTCAAGTACATTATATTATCATAATGATAGTAATAATATGTGTGTATGCATATCGATGCGCCTAGAGGATACTGTTGAGGTTTTCGACGAACCCCGGTAATTCCCAACGTCGAGGCTTTCATATAGGTATCAGACGCCCAATTACTGTGATTACCGCTCTCGGTGAGCACGCCGGCCGTAAAATACCTTCGAGGCGTATTTTATAACCCCCCTACCCCTCCCCTGTGTGTGTGGTGTGGTTCATTGAATCCTTTTCGGAAATTGCGGTTAGGATTCGGTACGGATCGGATTTGTATTTCCTTTTACAATTATCGTTATTTACCCGCAGGTCGTCGTCGGTTAGTTTGACTGTCCCGTTACGCCATGCATTTTGATCAAGCATCTGTACAAAAGATCCTATATGATAGATCTCGGCCAGATATAATACTGTGGACCTATACTATAATAATATTACAGTATCTGATTTAAGAACATTTTAGGTAATTAAAATAAAAATCATGAAATATGTCAATGTAAACCGGATTTTTAGATTTTTTTCACACTTTTATCGTTCCTGTATTTCTATTGAGTCGTCGGCGCCAAATATGGAAAAAAGAAACTTCTAATAACGCATTCAAGAAATCAAGATAAATTTTTAGTATGTAAGTTTAAAAGAAAAATCGTTGTGTTGTTAAACTAACACAAGATGGATAAATAAGGGTTTGCATGCATTTTATACGTTAACGACGTCCAAGACCTACCTAAACATAAAATCACCGAATGATTGAAAGGTATGATTTTTTTGTCAAAATATAAGCAGTATGTTTTAGCCAAAACATACTACTAATATATCAAATACAATTTATAGTGTGCGACCATTGCGTAGGTTTTAAGTGGGAAACCGTGTTTTTTTTATGCAAAACTGATGTATTTTTTACATAAAAAACCTAATACCCACAAACCCTACCGAATACTGATTTGGGGACCGTCACTGGGTTTTACGGTGGTTATGATAATATTATAATATTGATCATGATAAATCACTTCTATTAAAAACTTCTTCGACTGGAATCTATCGTTTCTTGACACGCTAACATTTTCTTCTGCCTCTGTCATTCACTTGACTAACAATGGTTTTTAATTATTGTTAGTTGCATTAAACCGTGCACAACTATCTTGGCGACCGCATTGTCAATTGGTTTTATGTGCCATGAACCTATCATTAACAAAAACATCTAAACAAGAAAGGAAAACCCTCTATTTGTAATTCTAATTAGTAAAATCAATGTATTTTTTACTCGTGGATATTAAAATACCGGTCGAATCAATTTTGTTGTATTACAGTGTCTACTAAGGACAATTCAATGGTTTACACGCAGTGCCACTTCACTTTGATAACCGTACAAACAAACGCGCTAAAACATAATAAAAAACAAAGTGTTGAATAGCGTTGTACGTATTGTACTTTAAAGGGCAATTTATGTTGTTTTTTTTCAAAAAAAAAACTAATAAGGGTAAATTAGAATTTCTTTCTTGTGTTTTTGACGACAAATCCCATTGTGTACGATTGTCGAGAGTATTTTCTCGGCACATACTTAATGTGTATCTAATGTCTACATATTAGTATACACAGCAGGGTAATAATGGGAATCAAACGGGGAATCTGGACCATGGTGTATTTCATTTTTGAATTTTGTAGCAATCACAATGGGAGACGTCACTTGTGCCAAATATTAGAAGTATTTCCCTTATAACATTATCATTATTATGATATGGGTACGAAACCTAGTTGTTGTTCACTGTCAATCGCACGAGGACCCGAAAAACGCTTTCTATTCAGTTTCTATCTACTAACTTAGTAGAAAAAAAATGTAATAGAATATGTTCTCGGTATTCGAATCTAAATATCAATTTCAAGTCTGTAAACCTCGATCATCTATTTTTGCAGGCAATTTTCTCTTCGTGTATGGCAGACCGGAAATGGGAACCATACAAATCAAGAGTCCGTACTACACCCTCGGCGTGTTCGAAAACACCGGATGTTCGTTGTCGTTTCAAATGCATACAAACGTCACTTTTCCCAATAAGGTATCTGTGATGAGTCGGGCGCTCAACTACACATCAATGATCCAAGACAATCTCGAGAACAGCACTCCGACGTAAGTATAACATAACGATCGGATTTGGTTCCAGACAAGCAAATGTATTATCAGTTTTATTATACAATCACAAAAATGAATGGATAATTTATAACAATAATACATTAATTCAATAGTTAAAATATTGAGCTTTCTGAAAATACATCAAAGTTATATTTTAATTTCTTTACATATTTCCATCGAAATTTACCTTATTAAAATTGGGTTTGCACGTCTTCTTATTACACTTCTTTCAGGGATGGTAACCTAAATATCTTAAAAATTACAATATATATAAAATTATATGTGTAAGTAAAATTACCTCAACACTCCAACCATATGTTTGAAAAATATAGTATAAAGCCAATACAGTGGAGACGAAGCATATTTGGGAGGGGGAGGTCCCCCTAGCCTAACTAATTCGGCTATTTTTAAGTTACAGAGCGCCGTAATTTTAAGTTTTCTCAATTTTGAAAGGAAAGGAGGAATTTTTAAAATTTTTAGCTCAATCAAGTACATTTAATAAGTACGATTAATGATCTATAGACTTTCTACCTGAAGAAATCGGTGCAGTGGATTAGAAAATATCGTGGTTCTAGGTCCAGAAAAAAAACCTAAACACATCTTTTTAAAAACAGTATAACTTGTTCCTTATCAGCTCCGCATTGATGCTAAAATAACAAGAAGGGAGAAATACACAAAATACAGATATATAAAATTACATAATACATTTATTATTTTGTACATACATTTGTTAGGAATATAAAAAATTATGTTTTTTTCATATTTTCGAATAATAAACATTGAATTACAAAATATATTTTATCATTGATCATTTGTTAGTTACCATAGAAAAATATTTAAGATAACGCTTTGAAGGCGGTATCAAGTGTTTGGGGAGTTCTGTTGGTATTTCTGAACCTTCCAGTTTTATTTTAATTAAATACATTGCCAATGCGAATTCGTCTACATCTAAAAGTCCATCCTCGTCTACATCAGCTAACTTCCACAATTTAGACAACACTGAATTAGGCAATTTGGTCTTGAGCATTTCATCTTTAGCCGCTACAATAATTGCAAAGTCATTGCTATTTAGTGTTTTACATTTTTCAACGGTCTAATTATAGTGATGGCGGATGGCTCAATCTTAGATCCATATTCTTTATTAGAGCTCTTGATACCCGAATACAATAATTACGGGAACTTGATACGATACTGGTACCCAAATAATTGTATTTATTTTGTTTTATTATATTCCATTCGAACAAATAGTAACTGGTACTAGCCCATATTATAATATTATCGGTATTGCTCGGTAAAAATCAAGAACTCTTATCTTTATCGTCTACTAAAAACTACTTGTGCAAATTACATTTAAACAATAATTGACAACAATTTTGTTTAAAAGGTATGTATTAAAATTGTAGTTTTTTTACCAAATTCAAAGTTAGATCGTGCAAAATGTTACGATATTTAATTTACCTGTCCTAACCACTTTTCCATTCACTTTTTCTAGTCTTTCAAACATTTCATCAAATGGTTTTCTATATTGTTCAACAATCCAACTACCATCAAACTGTCCTTCGTTAATACCTGCATTTTTCACGTTAAACGGTGTAGTGGTGTCATTATCGTTGGGAATAACGTTACCTAAAAAATAGCAAATATTTAGGACAACAATATTGTATATTATACTAGGTTAGACAATATTGTTATAATATGCATTATTTACTTAACACTTCTACATCATTCGTTGTCATTTCAACGTTCATTCCGTCTAATAAGTTTTGCGCACGTTTAATTAATTTGTCATTTAAACCGTTAAAGGTGCTGAAGTCTTTTTGCCTCAAAAGTGACTATATATATTTATGTATAAAGTAATTAGTTAAATAGCAGTTTAGTAGTATTTCACAATTTTTCTTTGACTTATATTTAGAAATATATAAAAAACCTTCAAATTTTCTATATCCGGAAAATCACCCCAACTCAGATGTTTGTGTTTATTGAATATATCAACGCATATTTCTTTTAGGTCGTCGATCAGTCTGTTTTGTTGGCTGTCTTTGAACCAAAACCTGCTCACGAACGTCATACGCGAATTTAGTTCAGCAATTATGTACGCATGTATCTAGATGGACATTAAGTACAACATAAACGGTTGTTGACTATTGTATTAGACGTTCGAATGAAATGTACATTTTACATACAATTGCAGTTTTTGCTCTTTTTCCTATGTAGTTTAACTTTGAAATAACCGAATTATGTGGCAGCGTTTTTATATCTTGGAACAGATCATATTCTTCTTCGCAGAACATTCTAATATACAGAGAAGAAAAAATAATTGTAATTAATGTTACAAAAGACCAAAACGAGTTTATTATTTTAATCATACTTTCTATTAACGTCGTTTTTGTAAGGTTTGTCCCAAAACGAACCGACATAAACTCTGGGAACTTCCGGACAATGAATTGCTTTTCCTAGAGCCCACATTAGGGCACCGTGGACTCTTAGCAAGGATCGTTCGCTGTTAAAAACGATATTAATTAAAAAAACAATAATATTATTATTATTTTTATATGTTTATAAGGGACTTAAGTACGATTAATTTGTATTGTATCTATTTAGTATTGGGCGTAGGAAGTGTTGTAGACTGAATTATAATGTATAGTTTACACGTACAGCTGCAGTCCTAATGATTTATACTTACTCGATTGTATCGGCTTTGTTTAGGGCGATTCTTAACTTGCTATCGTGGACTTTTAACACGTCTATAGCGGCTTTCAATTCGTCGGATATATCCAATTTGTTGGCGTCGAAAGTCAGTATAATCATATCCGACCGATCGGCAAACCAGTTCAACGAGTCGTAGAAATTATATTCGCGTTGTGCTCGTTGCTTTTCTCCCGACAATATGCCAGGTGTATCCACAAAGCTTATTGATTTCAGCAGTGGAGTGCTAACAACGCCACAATGAAGTTTTTTCAGAAAATGGTTACCAAAACGAGATAGATCTTGAAACTGCTTGGCTGGGTCGGCCACAAGTACATTGCCAGGTATCGATTGTTCTTTGTCACCACCCATGATCACCATGAACCTATCCGTAGTGGGTTCTGGACCGATTCGAATACCTGGATAATCTTTTTCGATAAGATATCTACAAAAAAATCGCATTTAAAGATACAATAATTTCATAAATCAATTACAATTTAAGATAATACCGACCTTATCATCGACGTTTTCCCGGTTGAATATTGACCAACAAATAACACCATTGGCTTGGCATCGAAATCTTGATCGGTCAAAAAAGGCTCATAGAACTCATTGTACAAATAATGTTTTTCCAGTGGGAGGAGCTTTGAATTGTACACTTTTTTTAGACCATCGATTGCAGTTTCGTCTTTGAGGAAATTTCTAAAATATTATAATCGAATGGTTATATTTCTGGGATATTTTGTTATTTATACAAGAATACTTTACCCGTAAATAGATCTATCGACGATTTTGGCACAGGACAGACGTTTACTTAGAGCTAAACAGCTCCGAGTAAAACTATAAGGTCGTAAATACATTATTTATTATGAAAAATTCAAAAATTACACTCTATCGAAAAATTGACAAAAATGCAAATTGAGTTATCAAATATCGGCACAGTCGGTTTGTGTACAAAGGAAATAAATAAATATCAGTAACTATGGGAAACATTCGAGGCTATTGGAGTAACACTCTTTGATCCAGCAGCGAAAATATCTAAGCTATTCTCATTGTAATAGACTATAATATGATATTGAGGAGAACAACAAAAAGTGGTTGACTTATGGCAAGGGTCGATGTATACAATTTTTAAAAATTCTAAATACAATAGAATAAAATGATTTCGATAAGGAAATTCAAAATTGAAATTGTTTATAATAATAATAATAACAATATGAATGTTTAGGGACAAATCTTGGTTGTGTTAAAATTTGTTTTTAAACTCTATTCAACAATATGTCAATATTTGACTACTTTCAAGCAACAAGAATCAAAATGCAATCATTATATGGGTAGAATTTTGCTGGCTGTAAACACATTTTTAGTGAGATAAAAAAACCTAAACGTCTGGCAAAAATTTGTTAATTAAGCAAAAAAAGTTTTTGCTTAATGTATTTTTAAGGTGAAAAAGGTGTAAAATTTTAAGGGTTTTTAGCGATTTTTAAAGTGAAGGGGTACATTTTCTAAACTAATCTATGGACTGATCTGATTTATTACATGAAAAAAAGGTTAAGTGGCTTAGGAGATATCGTGGGTCCAAACACAAAAAATAGAAAAATAAAACCACGTTATTGTAAAAAAAAAATACCTTCTTAGCTCCTCATCGAAGCTAAAAGAAACAATAACAGCAATTATTGTTATTATTATTATACATTTGTTAAAATCAAATATTTAATGATGTTAAAACAGTTTCAAAATAATTTATACTATTTAAAAATTAAGTAAAATTTCAACCATCTATATGTTATTAATACTCATATTAAAATTCTTTTTTTACCTTTTACAGAAAATGGGAAAAGAAAAAAGTGTTGTTAGCCAAGCACACCAGACAAGTGGTTATCGAAATAATAATGACACCGGGATCTCACATTGGCATCGACGACATTAAACTTGAGAATTGTTTACCAGGTAATTACTGTGAGTCTAGGTAGTGGGTAAATAATAGTTAAACGTCTCATAGTCGACCTGCGAATAAAGCATCTAACTTCAGTATTCGGGTTCCCAATCCATTCATACCATTTGCAAAAGTCAAAGCAGAAAATGCCCATATCTGTCCTAACATTGTGTCTATTGTTTATTTGAGAAAATTTTTTAACCGAAATCCAAATTGTAACAATACTCAAAAATATCATAGAGTATACCAATCTAAGAAATTAAACACCCCCGAATGAAATAAGTAAACCTGTATAATAATATTTATTTTACAGCAGTTAACAAGCTTTGCATAAAAAAAAACGGTATAACAGTTAAATTGATAGGTTCTTATGCTCACATTCAAAAGCACATTGAATTTTCCGAATTCAACTCAAATAGATATCGCGCTTAGACACACCGACCGCGTTCAAATCCCATACTTATCGGATTTTGCCTATTGGGAATTAATTGCATCCTTTTAAAACATAAATTTCTAATCAATCTGAGATTAAACTCTGTACATAAGAAAACCACTTCGACAGACATGTCAAAGGATGTACTATGTATCTTTGGGTTTCTTCAATGGGAAGCGGTGTTTTTCTGTGTGTATTTCTGGAATTGAGGTGTGATTTTTCAGTTAAATATTTTTTTTTTTAAATTGAGCGAACGGGAAATCTTATTTCGCAGACGATATCAACGGAATACCACAGAACGGAAGTTGTCCGACGGATACGCATTTCCTGTGCTCCGACAACGCCACTTGCATTCCACATCATAGGGTTTGCGACATCAGCCCTGATTGCCCGGACGAAGGCGACGAAACCGAGAAATGCCGTAAGTACCCATCACGGCCGTAGCATAAATTAATGTTTCCAAGTACGCCTACTACGGCTCGTGTACCATAAAATATAAATTAGTTAAGATTGGCTAACGTTTTGATACGATGATCCTAGAGGCTTGCGTGTGCTCGATTAAGACAACACACGCGAGATTATGTCTCGCTATAAATGAATTATTAATACTATATATATATATATACATACTGACTACGTCTAAACACTCTGCTATGATGTACATATACACTGTTTTAGTTCGAGTGCCACTCGAATCCCGTTGCACCTTCGAGTCTGGATTTTGCGGCTGGCAAAACTCGTCCGAAGAGATGATGCTTTCGTGGAAACTGAACAAAGGCGACCGACAAAAATTCACAGGGCCTAAATGGGATAACACCTATCAAAACCGTTCGGGTAAAACGGCACATTGCGTTTTCTTTTATTTTTTCACCATCAGCTGTCGACCATTCGATATTGTCTTAACCCGTTTGCATTGTTATTGCCCGCAGGTACGTACGCTTATGTGGACATGTCAGGGCCGGCCCATCTAGGATCGGCGGCTCGAATGGAAAGTGCTCATTTTCATCCACCTCCGCCTTACTGCTCCAACCCAGAGTCCAAATACTACAACTCCTGCTATGTGAGTAAACGTCTCATTATATTAACGCCAATCGACTTAACACTGTTATTAGCAAAATACAAAATTCATAAGGAAATATATTGTAGAACAAAAACAACAATGTAGTACTCGGACCAGCAGCAAAACGGGAGCAATTTTGATGTGTTTTCAATCTGCGTTTGTTTAACGTATCAATAACCGGACTTTGAATACAATTCCTTTTACACTAGTACTTCTAGCACTTTTACTATTGAAAAATAATTTCATAATTTCGTGATGGTAATAAATATGATGAACTTATAAAAATTAAAATTATTAGCCTTTACATTTCAGATATTTTAAAGGAAAAAGTTGATTCATATAGAAACAAAACTATATTTTTTTGTTTATACTTTAACAAAAAATAGTTTACCACAAAAGTCACAGCAACATATTACTTGTATTTCATTAAATATAATGCTCAAATCAGGACTTAAATCTAACATATTATAAATAACATTTCCAAGGTAATATTTCTTCAAAGCTTATTTCACGTTCGATCAAAAGCGTTATTTTTTTTATAATCATTATTATGTTGTTAGACCGTTATCTTAAACAGGTATTAATTTTAGGTCTGAATGTCCTGAAATGTCTAGAATTTGCGTGAAAATGTATGGAGCGACTGAGATTATGACAGTTTTTGGGCCAAGATTTTAGTATTAAATATTGATTATTTAAGTTTGTACACTCTGAATAGAAAATAGCTTACCTGTTATCGTTAAAATAATATTCGGGACGACCTCGGTTAATGACAGTTTACTTTAGCCCATTAAACGGGATAGAACCCGTTAAAATAAAGACTATTTCGGATGAATTTATGTTCGAACAAAGGCCATTCGAGTTTAAATTTACTTCTTAAAGAAAAATGAAATGGTAAAACTGTTGCTGAATGTCAAGAGTATAATATAATGGGTAGGTATGCCGAGCTAACTTATATATATTTTTTATTTCTCAGTAAAATAGTCCCAAAGTTTTGCGCCGTCAATGCTAGGGCAATAAAAAAATAAAGTGTTCTAAAAGTTTCTTCGATGCGAGCAAATTAAAAAAAAAATAACCGATTCTGTGAGGTGCGGGTCAGGTATATTTTCTTAACGCATCCGACCGGATGTTAAACTTTTATTGTGCTTTTTGGAGAGTGTTCAAGAACGCGAGAAGAAAATGCATATATAAAGAAGAAAATGACTGGAAATAACGGTCCGTGAGTTCGTGCCTGACTTGATTTAGTCGATTCGACACTATAAAGTGCGATTTCTCGTTAAAGTTCTACCAACAAATATTTGAGTCTAAATAAAATTTCAAGCGTCAACGTCAAACTAAAACTGTAAATAATATTCACACCAACGTTAGTAAACACCATAAAATTTTATTTTAAACTCAGAACTCTTCCAAAATGTGATTATTAACAAATATAATCTAAGTGCACTTGAAAAAAAAAATCTTTTATCGACAATTCATTTTTTTTACTATAATACAAAGAATTTACAATCAAGTAGAGGATGATGGTGCATACGCGAATACGGAGTACATTTGAATAATGCTGATAGAATTATTTTTACTGTGCTTAGAATAATTGCTAAAATATGTTTTTATATTTTTACACAGATATCGTTTTTCTATCACAAATTCGGGTCGCATAGTGGATCGTTGGGACTGTACCTGGTAGAGACTCACGGTGAGGTAGACCGGATGCAACGGTTATGGTGGAGTTTTGGAAACTACGGAAACACTTGGCTTCGGACTGTTGTTTACTTGAAAAACATCACCACGAGGTAAAATATTAATTTCATAAAATATTCAACAAGGAGTGTTCGCAACATTTATTTTGTACAAACACATGAAAACCAAAGTAACAATGTAATTTGACCGTACGTTTGTTAACAATAAATTAATGTTACAAAATGAATATTATTGTTTTCGTGCTCGTGTGAAGTTCAAAAAGATTACAATCCCAAAACGGTTAACTGGCCCACACAAACATTGTGGTTGGTTTTATCTATTTGTAGTGTACCAAGGAAATGTTTCTCTCAACCATAATTATTATTGTGCTATTTATTTAGACGTTGCACGATTAAAAAATAAATATTTTCATCAAACCATTCCTATCAAATATAATACAAACACTGAGAGCTAATAGGACATACTATTATTATCAAACATAAATAATCATCTGTTTATGTTTTTAGCTATTACTTACAGTTCGAAGCCCGCAAGTTTATGTCACAAAAAGGCGATGTGGCCATAGACGACATAGCAATGAGCCCCAAGTGTTTTGGCTTAGGTATGTACATTAGTTGTAACAGAATATATATTCAAAGAAAGTAAATTATCAAAAAAATACATATTATAATATATACTGTCTTTTGAATATAAGTTTATTTGTTTTAAAATTAGAACTATTAATCAAAAAATGTTGTTATGAAAATTATGTGTATTTCGTTGTTTAAAGATGTCCCCAAAGAAGAACTGAAGGGCTACAAGTACGAAACCGCTGGTGTCAATGACACGAACACATACAACGGTAATATCTTTATTTTTGGTTTCTAATATTGTACTAATACACACCACTTTACAATAACAATAATTGAAAAATTCTGGTGAAATCAGTCCAAAATACGAAACTAACACTATCCAATAGAGTTTTCAACTAGAAACTAAAATCTGCCTTCAAAATTGCACTAGCACGTTAAGTTCTCGAGCAAAAAATCGATCACTAGCGTTTGTCAACGCTCGTGGAGTAATTTGTTTTGCCCCTCTATGGAAATTTACCTACTAGGTTAAAAAATATTTAATAAATGTATTTTTTTTTAGTGTTTTTAGGGGTTTTTAGGACGTTAACATTTTTTTTTCTAAGAAACTTAACGTGCTAAGACAATTTTGAAGGCAGATTTGAGTTCCTTGTTGAAAAAATCTATTGGATAGTGGAGTTTTTGACCACTTTATCGTACTGTGATAGACCTTTTCCGTATGGTTTCTTAAACTTTTGGATCAAAAATACATTAGGTCAAGTACTAGAATCGTAGTCGGTAACGAATTTTGGTCGAATGACATTAATTATCAAGAAGGTTTGACTCTTGGCCGCAACTGAGTAAATACTTAAAAGTTCTTAATTCGAGTGATCTATACTAAGAACGCATTCGATTAGACATATTGTCACAAAAGCCAATGCTAAGAGTTTCTTTTTAGACCATACTGAATAGTTAACCATACCTCGCAGTAATCAATTATTGTGGGTAATGGTTTTAGTTTATATTACTTAAATCACCCAACCGTGTATAGAGATGAAATGTTAATTAAATAACACAACTTATTTTCATCTTCAGGCCTAAGGTTGCCAACCAAACGAAACACAGTATTACAAAAGATATTTCAATTTTACTATGTAATTCATCGCATTTTGTTTAAAATTTTCCCTTTAGCCGAATAGTGAAATCCCGACTGAGTGTAATAGATCAAAAGTACTATAAAAAGGATCTTTTTCAGTCAGTATAGTTATCTATTTAAAATCAAATCAAAGGCCGCTATTATTAACTTAAGCTTTTTCGAACGTTGTTCTAATCTTATTCCTCATCGACAATCCGACACAAGTGTGTCTACTTCACTATTTATATCTTTCCATACAACTGTATCCACCATAATTATTCCTTATACCCAAAACTATAACATATTTTTACTTTTCATTCGGTAAGGTTATTTTTCTGAAGTTGCTTTTTTTTAATCGCCGCATTCAACACATTTTTTGATAATATTAAATGCCTTTCCTTATATCATTAACTAATAAAACATTAGCTGTCATGGGTAATGTTCCAGTTCAAGTGGCTCCTAATTAATCGCACTGGGGGCCCCTTGGTAGCTAACGCGTTAATTTTCTCAACCTTTTGATCCTGCATTATCCTTGGATTACTTATTTAGTATAATAATAATACTGTAATCCCTTTTTGAGCAGGTAATTGTGTAACGAGAGAAACTTCTAAGTCTTATAAGCCCACTGCCGGTAAAAATAAGCCATAAGATGTTAATAACGATTACTTATTTACCTTACTTTGGTTCAGGAGTGAACAGTTTGTGTACTGGAAGTTATTGGTTACTGTGATTGTGTGTATACATTATAATATCTTCTTACGTTGCGTCGCGTCTTGGACACTCAAGTGAACGGCTATAGTGCTTGTCTTTAATTTTAATAACACAGCCATTCAACTTAAAGGTTTACCACAAATTATTGAAATTGTGTAGTTATTAAAAATATAATTTAATAAAATATATTCGAGTTATTTAACAAAGTCACTGTAAATCATAAACCTACATCATGGCCAAGGTCAAACTGAACGTTCAATAAATTTGCATCCGGCGGCAATGTTCCCTAAAATCGACCAATCAGTGTGGGCAAGAAGAAATCGGGAATAACGGCTTCTGCTGCTTGTTTAAGTACCCATCTGCCGATAAATAAACCTCTATGAAATATATTATCGCTGCAAGTGACACCTTAAGGCATCGCGTCGCCCGCAAACTTCTTATTCTTAAAGGAAAAAAATTAAAGTTCCCCGAATCTCATCCTTAACTTGCGGGCTTGTATACTTGAAACGCATCACCGTTTTTCCATCCATACTTCAAGTTTTTTAATTAAAAGACAACATATAATTTAATAAAAATAATTTATCTAATATACTGCCTGCCCTAACCGTTCTGTCGTCGGAAAATTAATTTTAATCCCATCAGGTTAACCAAACAAAAACTAACAGTGGCCAGGCGGTTTCTCTCGAAAAATTATATTGTAAGGTTTCACCAACTTTAATAATACTATGTAGATGGTTTAGGTACATAAAATAAATTGCTTCCGGGTACGTAGTTTCGAGCTTTTGATAAGTTTCAATGATTGTTCGGTACATTTCAATTGTTTTTGAAATGAACTCTAAGCAAACATCAAACACGGTTTTACTCCCAGTTTAATACCGTTGATTATAATTATTAACATTTAAGTAATTTAATTATATAAAGAGTTTATTTTCTTAATCTGACCGACTCGAAAAAGCGTTACTTGTTTACATTTCCTTGAGACCAGCGACTACCGTCGCCTAATGAGAAAACCTGTCTGCATAATTTATGCAGCTTTCGAATATGTAGGTCAGCGTTTCATCCATGTTAAATAATTATTATTTCTTTTAACAACTTTTACAAACTATACAATGGTTTTTGGGTATGCCGATGAAGTTTCTTTCTCTGAACAACGGGCATCCTTTAAGGAGTTTTGTTTTTTTTTTAATCAATTTATTATAAGTTCAAATAATTATTTATTTACTCCTCGCGTATTTTTTGTATAACATTATTTGATCACAGTCCGGAAATTGCAACGATTGTATATATACAATCGTTGCAATCAGTTTGAGATAATATATTTTTATTAATATATTATTGTTAATATTAAACATAAGTATATGGATACCAACTTTATCACACACTACTTATATCTTCACTGTTATAATATTTATAATTTTATTGAAAACCGTTATTTGTATGTTCACAGTCACTCCATTGAAGATTCCCGTGCATCCGGATTTCATTAACAAAACCGGTGCGTACCAAAAATGGCATATTGTTCAAAAATATTATCGTACTTGTATGATATGAAACGTATCGATCCGGTATATTGTGTAATAGCTACAGTCATATGTCATGTAAAGTGAACAACTTTACTGTATGTAAATAAGGTGGAGCCCTAAAACCGTTTTGTAAAGTAAATCTGCTATAAACAGTCGAAGATATTTTTTTAGTTTTTCTTAACCTTTAGGTGGTTCGGTTAAGGCCGGTGTCACCCCGTAAGGTGATTGCACGTTTTCACACGGGCCTACACGTATAAATACTTAAGCTCAAAAATTCGGTTTGTCATATGAGGCGCATAAAATCTATTGATCATTCATCAAATTCGCCTGCCGCCCTCGACGTTCATTTATCTCTATTTCACGGGATATTAAACCACGTTGGCCATTATCCCGGTTGCTTTTATTTCGTTCATTTTTTTTTTTTTACAAACGAGGTAAGTATTTCTATATATTGGGCTTTTTAAACCTTAAAAAAAATATTATGCGGTGCCATAACAACAATGTGATAAAAAAAAACAATGTCACGTCGTGCGTCACTTGAAATCCGACACGCACAACGTCAGCATCTATAGCACATCATCTCTCATGCAAAATACGGTTGGGTTTCATTCTTTATGTCCATACCCTTTTGTTTGGCCCGTGTATAATTATTTCCGGGAAAAAAAGGCCAGGTCACCGTTGAAATTATATTCTTTAACCGCACAAAATGTGGACAACCACCTGTTGATAAAGATTTGTTCATAACCGTTTAGTCAGTTGTCTCATTAGCCAACCTTGGCGGCAAAATCACATAACCAATTGCCCTTCAGGTCTTTGGTCGTTTATTATACTTACCGGAGTGTCGGTCAGGCGTAGCAAACTGGGATTATTTTGTAGTGTCTGTAGCTAAAGATATAGTAGAGTGTAAGTGCAATGCGGACTTTTCCCAAGTAACACATGTTAAAAAGTCAACATAGTTAGGCGGGTTGTTTGCGTACAGTTGTTAGGCAATTCAGCAGAAGTAAAAAGAGTACAGCAAGCAATAAACGGCGTTAAGTTCGAGTAAAGCTATTGCGTTTTAATATATTTAAATATATATAATATATAATATATTTAGTACTTAATAGCGTTTAATTTTTTTCAAGACGAACAGTCGACGGTGTTTCTCATTGATGTTTTTCAAGTAATTGGAAAAATAATACTAGGAACACTCTGTGCTCTGATCATTTGTCCAAATTGTAGGAATAAATGAAAAGCGCTGGAAATCGTTTGTGTGATATTGAAAAGGAAAATATTATTATTTGTAAGGGGAAACGTGAAATAAATTACAAGTTTGGCGATTTCGCGATAGCAAGTCCAAAGATATATGTACATTGTAGCAAATAAATAAAATAAAATCTGTCAATATTGTACCGAACCAGTGGAAATATAATGTAAAACAATGAGATCGTGTAATATAAGTCATATAAATAGATAGCGCTAATAAAAAAAAACAAAATAAGACGTATGGCTTTAAAAAGTTGACAAAAGAATAGGAATATCATTTGTGTACAAATAAAACAAACTACTTTTTATCGACAAAATATTTATTCAAATGATAATAATATATTTGTTTTGCGGTAAATTGAATCGGCAAGATACCGGTTAAGTAAACGGGACAATTTTTTTAGAAAAATAAATACACAAGATTATCATCCTTAAGCATATATTTACGATTTTATTTTTTGTCGCAGTTTACAAATTTACCACTTGTGGTTCGAAGGGCAGATTGGGTCCTAGCAACAGATCCTGTGAAATAGCATACAACAACAGCACTTCTGCGGTCAACGTCATCAACGATACTTACATGGACGGTGTCCAAGTTTGGACCGTACCCGAAACTGGAGTTTACACGTAAGTACTGTTGTTATCCCATAAGAGTGGGATACGATCAGATATGGTCTTCATCTTTTATCGTATTTTCCATACATCACCCCATATATCTATTCATATCTCACACACCTCAACAACTAAAATAGAAATAAAATGAGATTTTTTTTCTAAGTAAACACATTAAAAATGATTAAATATGTACAGAGTATTGTGTAACTTTCGAGGAAAACTTCGAAAAAATACACTTCTCCAAAGTAAGCCAAAGGTAAAAAGCCTAAATAATCAAATAAAAACCACGTGGGACAGTGTTTGGTTAAGAAGCGAGTGAAGAAAGTAAAAGTTCTCGATAATCTTGTCCGATATTCGTTGGGCGCAAAGTAAAGTTTTAACTTTCCTTGTGCGAAAGGCAAATTTATCTAACCCAAGTTTCGCTTTTATTCTTAAACTTTGATAGGATCACCGTGGGTTTCACGTTGCGAACCGAAAAAATCTAAGACCGTCCCAAATATTGTATAGGCCTAGCAGATAAATAAATAAAATGTGAAGTAGCAAATGAAGAGTACAGGAAAAAACCAGCAGTCACTTTTTTCTAATCTAAGAAAAACATGTTTAAGTATTGCTAAAATATGTTTTAAAATGGTAAAGAAATACTTGAAACTTTTAAAAATATTGTATATTTTTGTTTATAATCGTGCTAAAAGTAAAGAACAGATTCGTTTTGTATCAAAACGAATTTTATAACAACAATTTGCCATTTTTAAAAAGTCACTTTGCTGGATTTTTCCCTGTACCCTTCAAATATAAAACGTTCACTTGAAAAATATTGGAGTAGGATGTCTCTGTTTTTTGATCTCTGTATGCCAGTCGTTAAATTGAAGCAAAAATTTTAGGGAAACAAATTTAGTTTAAAAATGTAATAAATGGTATACGTTACTATTTAAAAAGCTAAAGTTTATCAGATTTTTCATATAAATTATGCGGTTATATTTTTAAATTATGAATTAAAGTTGGGTGAACGATTAACTGTAAGAGTATAAAAAGGAATAATTTAAAACAATTTGTTATCTTCTAAGGTATTGACTGGTTCATAATTCATTATTAACCAATCATTCTGTACTTGAATTGTATTGAATATATCACCCTTTTATTTACGTTTAACAAAAACTGGCCCTCTGAATTAAATTAGTTTGAATATTAACGGTTTTTGTCTTGTTTAATCTTGATTATTATCGACCATGGCATAGTGGGGAGTAAAAAAACTGTATATGCCATTACATACATCCATATAAACAGCTGTAAAACAGTTACTGGTCTGTCTGATAACGCTGGGTCTGATTTTAGCGTCATCGCAAGCGGTGCTCGAGGAGGAAAAGGTGCCGACGGTATGGGCATATCCAAAGGAGCCACATCTATTGCCGTGGTCGAGATGGCTAAGAACCTACAGCTGCACATCCTGGTCGGTCAAGAGGGCGGAGACGCTTGCAAAAAGGTCAGTGGGAATTATTTTCGTCGACCAAACACTTAAGGTGTTTTTATTTTTAACGCAGGCCTACGAGAAGCACGACGGGGCTTGTCAACGCGAACAGTACTTCAGGACCGGCAACGCTCTCAGACAGTTGCACGACTTGCGGTTGCTTAACGGAGGCGGCGGTGGTGGCGGAGGATCGTTTGTTTTTACAGTTAAGTGCTAAACGTCCCAAGATCGTCGCCCGAAACCTCTTGTTTGTAAGACCTACGAGTATAGCCACCCCAAAAGGACACACTTGATGTGAATTCCGGTTCCATTGACCAACGCGATAATAAGTCTCAAGATGTGTTTTAATATTATATTATTAACATCAGCTGTCAATTTTTCGCACATTAAACATGTTTCCATGGCCAAATTTAAGAAATAGCTTGAAAGAATCCCATAATTATTGTGAATTAAATCTGTATCTGATTATAACGCACCGTTCCATACTAAACACAATTTGTTAAAAAATATTGTCACCAACAAAACGTACATCCATCGATCACAGGCTAATAATAATTGAATAGATACGATTGGAAACTATCGGTTACACGTCTTAACGGTTTTTTTTTTTGCTTTATCATTAAAATATAACCATTTTTGCAAATAAATGTAAAACTACCACTTGGGTATAGTTAAAATTACCAAATTCATTGTAGCTAGGTTTATTCGTTTTTTTTAATCTAATTAATTATACTTAAATAACAATTTCATGACCGCCAAATTGTAAATTATCAACCTTATGGTGAACGACACAGACCTACCGGTGAAAATTTCAAGCTACTCTTAACCCCGCAAAAAATGCCAAAACCGGTAACGCGATAAAAAAATATGTGCATTTTATATTATGTTAAGTGTTTTAGTTAGTCTCATAACTTTTTGGCGATCAGGTTGTTGGGTTTATTTTTATTTTTTTATCGTGACGTGGTTGCCAAGACGTTACGCGCTACTGTATAATATGTTGAGAATATTTATTAGAATGATGTAGTAAATTAGGAAAAAAATACCCATAAAATGCACGTGGCGTGAATAATAGTGTATTTTCTTAGAAAAAAAAATGGGATGCTCGCATAATAGTTGCCTGTTTTCCATTTTCTTTTGACTTGAAAATGAATTTTTCACGAGCACGTGGTACATCCATAGTCATGCGTTATCGTCTATAACCTCCTTACCCGACTATCGGCATGGGCACGTGTGTAACGCTTCTTTCTAATACCGTAAAATGAAAAATATATGCTAAAATATCTTAATTCGACATAATATTCAAAACAAAATATGTTGATGTATAGCCAATCAATGTTAAATTTTAGTTTAAAAAAAACTCTACACCTACCTAAGTGTTAGAAATGTATATTATGTTAATTGAATATCGACAAGTATAAAAAAAATGTATTTTAGTCCATTAAATATGAATTTATTTGCTCAGATGAATAAAAATAAATGTGAAAACATTATCTCGCGCGTTCGACCGAGAAAACATATTACAGTTAGCTGTTATGTAACCCCCTTTTGTATGGCCCCCTTAGAAAGATTTGTTATCTCCCATAATATTTATGTTGAACCACTTCCGTTTGCCTTGAAACTGTATCTACGGCGATAAATAATATCGTTTCAGAACACACAAGGCATGACCTAATTTAAAAATATAAAAATATCTGTAGGACGTTGTTAAAAAACGACGGTGACTTATTTCAGTATGAAGAATTCGAAATTAAATTAATATCGACATTTTTTTTTTTTTTGCACCGCTGCTTATTATTATTACTTATATACTAACATATTTTTATTCATATTTTCAGGGAACCCACGAAGACGGTTTTTTACCTTTGTTGATAGGATCCGGCGGAGGCGGTTTGGCCCATGGTCCTTTTAAGGACGACCGGAGCCAACACGGAAACGGAACCAACGATAGATTGCCGTCCATCACTGCACCAGCGTTTGGCGAGAACCCGGCAGGTTAGTGTTCATACACCCAAAGATAGAACAACTAATTTTGAGTTTTGATAAAATGAAAACAACCACTATAAATCAATCTAAATGTCGACTATTTTATGAAAAAAGTAATTCAATATAGTTTTCCAAGACATTCAGTTGTATCGGTTTTCAAATTTTTGGACATTTTGTATCAGAAAAATAACCAAAATATTATATCTAATATTCTTTAGTACTCATTTTTTAATTTTTTACCAAGTCCTTAATTTTTTCATAACATTTTCTTTATTACATCGGGTTTTGTGGTTACTACAGTATTACAGATTTCGCATAGTCTAGATCGTGAATAATTATACAGTGTTATAGAAATACCTGGAATCCTAAACAGTAACTATTTATCTTATAGAATAATGATTTCATCACAAGAGCTACAATATGTTTGAATATTTTCAAATATGTACAACATTATATTTTTGCATGAAACAATTTATAAATAGTACATGTAAACAAATAATATTTTGTTATTATTATTACAAATTGAATAATAATGACAATACACGAATTATTTTCATCTCATCAAATAAATATAACACTTGTAAATCATAATATTTTTTCATAGAACATAAGAAAAATGTTTTTATATTTTTGAACATCTGTGCCGGATGATATGCCTGATTTGAGCTTCACAGTTGAAATAATATTATTGTTTCAGTAGAACTTTCGCTAAAAGTACTACTACTTTATTCAGTTATTTAACCCAATATTTTATGTTTTTTATTTAGACAAATATTTTTTTTTAATTTACAATCTGGATGTAAGTATACAAAAAAAAATAATAAAATTTGATAAGTAATTACTGTTAACTTGACATGAATCATTTGACGGTAGAAGGAATCCAGTGATCCCACTCAATGCCCTTAATTTATAGTTTTAATTTATTAGGGAAGTAAGTAAGCGGTTTTTTAAAACAATTAAATATTAATAAAACTAAATAAATTTCATGAAGTCAGAAACGTTGGAATTCAGTAGCGAAAATTAAATAAAAATAATATGTTTTCTTGAGCATTTTTTTTGTTATTTTCGTTGAGTTTTCATATTAAAAATGTTACCACAAGTCTGTTAATGGAAAAAAAATTAGTACACCTAAATTGGGTTGTGGTCCTCGGACCCATTCCGTGTATTATTAAAATTTTTATCTAATTCTTATTTTCTAGTACCTCCATTATTTCTCATTATCAGTGTTCTATTTGACTAACGGCATCCGAACGAATGCAAACGATTTTTATCTTAACATCCGATGAGAACTGCTAGATGTCTATTTTTTTCTCGGTTCGTTCTGTGCCACTGGTTTTGCACAGCATTGTACGGAGAATTTCTTTCCTAGTCTTGTATGGTCGTCCCATTGTTGTCGGTGGGAGGGGGGCGGGGGTTCCGGAAGACGTTTTCAAAGTTCGACCGGTGTAGTGCAAAAAAGGCATTACAACACATATGGGTTGACCATCTGGAAATATTCCCGGCGTTTACCATGGACGGCTAAACGATAATTACGCCCGATCGAACATTTACAACTTTTCTGAACGGAAGTCGAATCGCTAATACCAGCATATAAAAGCCCGCGTAAAACGTCTAGTGACTGACATTTGCTGTTTAACCGACCACGGCGAAAAAAGAAAAAAAATATTGCCGGGATAAGTAATTCAATTGCACCCGGGACCTTAACTTAAAACCCGACTTTGACTCGATGAATTCCAACACTTAACAACCTTAACGTCTTAGAGGAATCTCTGAAATTCAAAGTTTGTAGGGATCACAGTTTAAGAATTCCTACGGTTTTGCAACCGCATCCGCAGTATTATTATGAACGAAAAAAAGTGAAATCACGTAGCTTGTTTATAAAATCGTTCTTCGAATTAATTAGCTACGTTTAAGACAACAATGGACAGTAAGTATTAACAGTACTAAGAGACAGAGCATTGCCAAAAAACTGTGTGTAATAGGACACGCGATTAATGTGAAACTTTAAAGATTTCTTACTTTTTCAACCTATATAATAGGGTATTCCTTATTTTTTAAACTATCAATTTAATGGGCTCACCCTCCAAATGTGTGTCTATACATAAAAAGAAATGCCTACAAAAAGTGATAGTTTAACCAAATAAATGTTAATTATCAATTTTGAAGGAAAGTAAATTATCTGGATATTGTAATTTAAAATATTTGTTCATAAGTATTCGCGTTTTAAAAGAAATTCATATTGGCTGCAATACAGAGCATTTTTTTTAATATTACCCAGTATTATGGTATTTGGTATGTGGAAAAATTGAACATTCTATAAATTTTAATTTAACATATTTAGCGTAGGATATAGTAATTATGATATAAAATATAATAAAATTATTAAATACAAATTTTAGCAGGCAGAAATATTCATTAATAGTGTAAAATACATTATACCATAACCTACCATCTAAGAGAGTATAACGTAGTACTACAGTACATTGCAAACATAATATTATATTTAGTATTTAAAAGTTCTTGTTTCTAATTGGTCGTTAAATACCGTATAATTTCGTGTTTAAAAAATCGATTATAGGCTGTAGATTTTCAGTAGCCAATTTAAAATTAAAATTCCCTACTAAAACCAAAGATATTTCTATGTATGGTAATAAATATAAATATCAAAAAATTGTTATGCTATTTATACTCTGGTATGGCTCAGTACATTATACCGCTATCAACATTTTTTATTAACAAATCCATTATTTTCTGGTAGGTTTTCATCAGGAACCATTATCACTGTAAGATGATTTTGTAAGAAATATCATAGAATAAAATATTAAAGTTGTTGTTTACATTGTTACGGAAAATCCAAAATTGTTTAAGTAACAAACATGTTTTAAAAAAATTTATCGTATATGTCAAATGATATTTGATTTAGATAAAACCTTATTTGAACTATTTATTTATACGAAAAAACAATGTAAATATTAGAGTATATAAACAATATTTGTAATCTAAGCTACTTTCTAATTATCCAATACGAGGACGCTTTATTAAAATATTATTTTTTATTGTTTTCATACATTATACTTCAAAAACTTACCCCAAAAAAAGTGGTGGACTTTAATTTAGTATTAGTCATACTTTAAGAGTATAAACACGTTTTCTCTTGTTCAACCATATAAGGTGCTGGTGGCGGTTGGGCACCAGGAAACTATTCGGACGAACAAAAATACACAGGAGCTTCGGTGCTGGAAGGCGGAGCGGTCGGTGGACTGGCGTGCTACAAGAGTCGAGGAAACATCAAGGGTGCCGGTGGCTTCGGCGGAGGAGGCGGTGGTTGTGTCGCCGGCGGTGGCGGTGGAGGCTACACGGGTAAGCCAATAATCGCTATGTTATTATTAAACACTATTCAGGTGTACCCTATGGTAAGCTTATGCAAACAATTTAATGCCACATCATCCGTTTCCCAGTGTGTACCTTGATTCACTTTAAGTGGGGTTTATCGAAAACCCGAAGAAAAAACAACAAACTGTATATTTGCCAGAAAAAAAAATTAGAAGAATTAGGCGAGGAGTAAACGCATCATTTTATAGAATTTTTATCAAATAAAATACATTAAGTATTTTCAGGCTTACCGTCGCAGTTTTGTATTTCCAAGGTTTTGTTAGGCACCGGAATGCCGGAATTTCCCATGAAAATTATTTCGGGGAAAAAAAAATTGCTATATTCCTTCAGTGTGAAAAAATTGGAAATTTGGAGAATTTACTAAAAAATCCGAATTACAAAATATATTTTTATTCGCTAAATTAAAATATAAGTACGTTTTAAACAACAATTTAATGTGAATGACAAACGTAAAATATTTTTAAAAATGCGACTATGGTATTTTTCATGTATGTCTAGAATGCATGTTAAATTAAACTGTTAGCCTTTACTTTTATATTTTATAAAAAAAAATGTGTAAATTTTTCCCAATTTGGCAACATCCTAGAAAACATGTATCTCAAATAGAAATTTCGCAAGGACGTCATATTTTACGGTTCTCGTGGCTTCAATCGTGGTTTTATCTGAATTATTTGACTAGGCCATTGGCGACACTGTGTTGTTTTTAAGGTGGACGAGCTTGGAGCAACAGTCAGACAAACGGCGAAGGGGGTTGGTCTTACTTGCCGGATCACAAGTATTTGTTCTACAGTGCCGTGTATCCGGGAAGCCACTATGGTCCAGGAGCCGTGACCATCATACCAGCGATCGTGGGCTGCGGATGCGCCTACCTATGCGTGGCCATCAACAAACTGCGCAACGCTGCAATGTGCATTTGTCCTATGGACTTCAGACTTGGGGCGGACGGCAAATCGTGTTCTTGTAAGTCGACGGATATTATGTGTTGAACCCTTTAGAGCTGGTAAAATAACAAAAGATACATACATTTAATAAGAAAACTAAATTTTCTCAAACGATCAATTTTTTGTTGAATATTGTTTTTTTAATAACGTTCGACAGATTTTTAATTTTGAAATAATTAAATCCACCATTCGGATAGAGTTGTTATAGGCCATAAAACTGTATTGGTTACTTATCTTAAAAATGTTATAATCTAATTAAAAATAATCGATTAGGTTTGCTAATTTTTTGTTGTTCTTGATAATTATTTAGCAAAAAATGTTAGATTAAAAGCAGGTAGGTTCAGAATATAAGTTACTAGCCTAAAAGTTCTGTCATACTTGACAATATAAATTAATTTTCGTAATAGGTCACAAACTTGTGGCGAACTCTCGCCGACTCGTCGACTAAACTTGAGGTTTTCGTTCTTGATGACAGAGAGAACCACCGTGCATAAAAATGTTTACATAATAAAATAATACTGATAGTAAATGCATTTATGTAGTATTTTATGCCGTTACCAGACTTGACGATGATTTATTATTATTATTTATCATAAGAAAAATATACACACAAAATATTATATATAATTAATTGCCAAAATTTGCAGTTAATGTAACAAAGTTGCAATAATTTTTTAAAAAATCTATTTGTTCCGTTCAGAGGTAGAACTGAAGAATTAATAACGTTTTAAAACAATATAACCAATTATGTTTTTAATCTCTGTCAAATACAGGATCAGGCCAAATAGTATGTTCTTATAAAAAAAGTCATTAGCTGTACCTAATTTATAGTTGTTTCGAAAGTTTTCGATATTAGTGAAAAACACTATTGCCACTAAACCCTTGCCCATCGGAATAGATTATCTAAATTAAATATAGAGATATTTTGCTTTATCGTAAAATTTTATAAAAATCTTTAATAATCTTTTTTAATTCTAACCACTTCGAATTTAAAATTAAATAACTGTACAATGTGGTTTTGATATTCTTTAACGTTACTCTGTATTGTTCACGTCTTACCGTTGGTCATACATGTTAAGCCAATCTAGTTGTGCACATTTGCTTAATAAATAATAATATATTTTGCAGACCAATCGGCTGAAACGAATAAAATCATAATTCTTATCACCGGAAGCGTTTTTACTGTCGTTATAATTTGTATTATCATGGGACTTTGTATGTGTGAGTACCAGTAAATAATTATTGCGGAAGTCGTATAGCACATTTCAGAATGGTAATAGTGTTGTTGATATTGTGTTTTTTTTTCTAGACCGCAATTATAGGAAACGAAAAGAGCGCAAAGAGACCGTCCAAATACTCCAGAACGGTATTCTCAGCTACAGCATGAACTCCAGAAGTCGTAACGGCGACATGGAAATCAATCCTATTTACGATTTTAACGGCCGCACTGTGTCGACAGACGATTTGCCCAGGATTGCTCGTGAAGACCTTCGGATACTCAGGTAAGATACTAGGTTTGATCGACAAATATATCTATGGAAATTGTACCAGTTGAGCACTCGGTTTCATAAATCAATAGACATCAGACCTAGGGTAACGAATAACCGAATGCATTACTAAATATTTGATCCAATATTAAAATATTTGACAATTGTTGAATTTACAGATCCATTGGCGAGGGAGCGTTTGGAATCGTTTACCGTGGATATTACCGGAAATCCGGTGAATCTAAGGACATTAGAGTCGCGATAAAGGTAAAGTCCGCTTAAATAGTTAACAACGCCTTTTACAAAACGTAGAGGGTTATATTGTATAACTTGCTCGCCGTTGCAGACGTTACAACCGAAAAAAGACATGACCAACATCGATCTGAAATTCGACGATGACGCGGCTCAAGCCAATCCCGAGTTATTGGCGGAGGAAAAGAAGCGCAAAGAACAAAAGGAAGAACTTGAGAGCATCCGGAGTTTCTTGGCCGAGGCGGTAATCATGAGTCAGTTCAAGCATCCGAACATTGTCAAGTTCATAGGCATCACGTTTGAAAAGAACTACAGGTTCATCGTGACGGAATTCTTGGCCGGCGGCGACCTGAAGGAGTTTTTGAGGAAAAATCGTCCTTCGGTGGTAAATATATAATTAGAAAAATTCGAATTTCTTATAACACAACCTCGTGGCGTTTGCAGCAAAACAAAGACACGATTGTTGATCTCAGCATGAAAGACCTGTTGAAAATTGCGTTGGACATCGCCAAGGGATGCAGATACTTGGAAAAATTGCATTTCATACACAGGGACATTGCCGCCAGAAACTGCTTGTTGTCTTCGACCAGCCGAAGAAGAGTGACGAAAATAGCCGACTTTGGCATGTCCAGAGACGTTTACAGGTAAGCGCGAAATACATTTGCACTCATTTGCTTGTCGTTTCGTTCCAATAGCAGAACAATAACTTATTAAAACGACTTTTCATACTTGCAGAAGTGATTACTACAAAAAAGACGGACAAGCCATGCTGCCAATAAAATGGATGCCTACAGAAGCTTTGGTGGACGGCGTTTTTAACTCAAAAACCGACATATGGTTAGTGCAACAAGCGTTTGAAACGCGATCAAGTTTATTAAGTTTGTATTTCAAAATAATTTGTTCTACATTTCTCGTGTAACTCGAACCGTTCAAATTACATTGTTTTCCTAACTAGAAAAAATATTTTCTTCTTTACCACCAAACATTCTTTTGTTGCTTTGAAATTCGAACCGCACAAAGATCCCTGTTAAAAGTATTTTTTAGTTTTTTTCATAGACTTAGATGATTGAGAAAAAAGTTTTCTACCGCAACTTCACATTAAAAAACTTGTAAACGGATACAAACTTTATGTGAAACATAACACTATGCTCACACAACAATATAGAGTTTTTTCTCTCTAATTTAGTGATTTTTTTTTAACTTAATCAATTTTTAGGTCGTTTGGCATAACTTTATGGGAGATACTGACGTTCGGTTCACTTCCTTATCCCGGGATGACAAACAAAGAGACCATGAACTACGTATTGCGAGGCGGGCGTTTGTCTAGACCAGGAACCTGCCCGGAGCCTGTTTTTAAACTTATGTGCATTTGCTGGAGGACGAATCCAGGAAGCAGACCAACGTTTGAGACAATACTAAAACGAATCCGACTGTTTATGCAAGTGAGTAATCTGTGGCACATATTACCTCATCAATAAGAACAAAACAATTTCATCCTATCAAGTTACTACTAGAGTTTATTTTATGGGGTCATTCTCGACGCTATGAGATGGTACTAATTTTACAATGATGTTAAATTTTTGACATAAATATATCTTATGACAATGGGGTCCGTCGAAAAATTTTGAAGAGGAGGAGAGTAGAAGATAAGAGGGGAAGGGAAAGTGAGGAGACGGGAAAAGTAGGTAGACGCGGAGAAGACAAGAATGGGGGAGGGTGTAAGAGACGAGGAGATCATTAATAAAAGAATCAGCTGATAAGATATGATTGAGGACAATGTACATGAACCTTCTTATGGGTATTACATTAAGACATATTATTCACAGTCCAATGTTTTTACTTCAAGGGCCAACCAAAAAACGAATTGTTTTTTAACAAATTATTATATAAAATGATTATTTTTTTTTAAATTTCGTGTTTAGGATCCGACCATAATCAATTTTAAGCAACCAGTAGTAGGCAGACAAAAGGCGCCATTACCTTACCGCGCTATCCACCCGGAACCAGACGAGGCGAGTGGATCTTTAAACGGAGCAGAACTTAGAGCAGAAATTATGGGCGGTGACGGCGAAGAGCATCAGTACATTACCCCATTGCCTGCTGACGACCTGTTTGATGAAGAGAATGCTGGGCTGATGAGAAACGCAGAGAGGTTCGGTAGACGTTACAGTGATCCTATGCTGGTGGACGACGGTCACAATTTCATAGAAGATGACGACGATGACGACGAAGACGACGACCGTGACGGCGATGCTGAAGGCGTGGGCGAGGAAGACGATGGGGCATGTGCGTTTGGAGGAGAAGGACATAAGGACGACGACGATGAAATGGAGGAAAGTGACGTAGAAGAAGAGGAAGAAGACGACGACGAAGACGATAACGCCGAGGAGATCTTCTTGGAAGCAGACCGCAGGCGATTGGACAAGGAACCGAACGACTACTTAGGTGCACAGGCTCCTAACACTTACCCGAAAACTGTCATCAGCAACGGTGCCGTCCCGTCTTATAACTGGAAGTAAGTGAAACAAGGGCAACACAGAAAATAAAAAAAATTGGAAATTATAATGTAGAGCGGTAGTGTCGCACTTAACTGAAAAATATCACAATTACTACTCGACACGTTTGTATCTAGGAGTGGAGTTATCCAGATCAATGATGATTTTAAGTTATATATACGTTTCATTAGACTTCACATTTTTTTCTATACATCATTGTATAGTACCTCTAAATTAATACTTAATAACTAAAACAAAATACAACACAATCATTTTACAACCCCCACTGTCCGTTGAATTATTTTTTTATTTGAATTTTTTTTTTTAAGATATGTTTTGCTGATAATATAAGATAATATAAAGCATCAATAGTCAATTTTAAGAATCTATATGGTTTTATTTTCTTATCATGGTGCATTTTTAATACTGTGTCGTTATGCATTACAGCCGGTTCAAAGAAACAAGTTTCATCAGCATGAAAGAACCGGTAAGTCGACCGCCACGAGTGGAAGGGGAAGTTCCAAATTACAGAAGAAGGAGATCGTTTTCCGAACTCGAGGACAACCGCTCTTATCCGTACACAGTGTCGGGTCAAGTCAGTTACAACGAGGCCCATGACGGACAAATAAGGTGCTGACACGAAGAAACTGGGACTATGGTAGTCGAGTCCCTGGAAATGATATAAGCATTTTTTTTGTCCTTTCAATAAGTCAACATTGGTCATTCACTCATGTGTCGTATTGAAGTACATGCCAGGACACGTTAAACGTGTCCTTTTAATGCGTTTTTTCCTTGTCATATAATTTGCAAATATTAATATGTATAAAATGTACCTATCGTAATAGTAGTAAATCTAATTATAAATATAGTAAAAAAAAAGCACCCGGAAACGACTAAAATGGTATAATTTTGTGGCTATATGTTTCATATAGACAGGATAGGATTCGCAGATAAGCATTGAGGATTCGGTTTTTCTGCGTCTATAAATTTAATTTATTTAGTCAGTCGACCACTTATTGCTATTGCAGTTAGTTCATGGAAAAAAACGTGTGGCAATCCGTTTAAGTATAAGTATTCGAGGTTTATATTGATTATAAAAATACGGTGTGAACCAAATAAACAGCTTTTGCTTTTATCAAATCCCTACATTCGAATATTCGATAATGCGAATACTGGGCATGACTACATGTAGTAGGCTTGCAAATACGAATTGTGTAATTGTGTTGGATTATACCTAAACTGCAATATAATACAAATGTTGAGTGTTTTTTTTTATAAAACGATACATTGAAACAATGTGATATAGCAGTTAAGTATTGTATTATTTTGAAAATAATAAATTATACAATATTTAATTTTACAAGAATAATATTTATATCGGTTTATTTTTAACGTCATACGAGCTGCTCAAAACATTGTAATTATTATAGAATCATTCAGCCAAACGTTAAAAAACAATTTTTTTTTTTAATATTTGACAAGCGGATAATTTATGATAAGTAGTTAAATATGTTTAGACAATCTCTAGCGTTTAACTATGTAAAGTGTAGTACAAGTTATACAAAATATAGTTGTTTTGAAAACCGGGATAGGTTACACTTATTCTCTTTGCCGTTCCACATGATACGGACCTTAGAAATATATGCAAATTTGTATGGGTTAAAATAAACCACAAATCAATATTATATTGTGTTTATTTACAATGTAAATTATAATGGGTACGATTGCGCAGTAATGCGTTTTGATGTTCTAGTAATTTTTAATAATAGTATACAGCCCAAAATTTGTATCTTCCACGGTTTGTCCTTAAGTTTATACTTAGCTATGCCCCTGGTAGTAATTGGTTGTGTGATTAAAGTTATAATCTAATGGTAGTTTCTTAAAATTAATAGTTTAATTTATTAAACTTACATAAAAAGAACTAAAAAAGTACCGTTTTCTACTCTAATAATAAAATAGTCTAAATGAATGATTAAATATAGGTATTTTAATTAAGTTTATTTACAAATGAGTTTAAATTTTGTTTTTTATTTTATTACACGTTAATTATACAAAACAACTGCAGTATTGGTATAATAATATTATGTTCCATTTGCAATAATTAACCAAAATAATGTATTTAAAACAAAGTAATAAAATCGTTAATTTTAAGTATTTTATTGTTCTTTTTTATGGTTGTCAAATATGTTTATATACTATTATATTTATTTCCAAGAAGTATTATTAATTGTAATTTGGCATTTAAATAATTCAACTTAGTATTGTATACGTTTTTTAGTAAGAAAATCTAGTCTATACAGTTGCTAAAAATATGATATCTAGTCTCTAGTCATAATTGTTAAGATAATATTTGATTTGATGTATCGGTGTTTAGTTTATATGGGCATTTTAATAGTTTATGCAAACCGAGTTATACCTATGTTGTTAAGAAACTTAATGTACTTAACATTTAGACGTGTAAAACCTAAAATATTTCACGGATTGGTATACTTCCGTATCTTTTTCCATATATAATTGTTCTTGTTTTCTTTTTTTCAATTCAACTTAAGCTAATGCTTGTTGTGTGTGTTTTGAATAAACTAAAATAAGTTATTCCAGTAGACAGTAGTTAAAAATTGATAATAATTTTCGGGAAATGAAACACATATTTTTAAATGGTAGTTTTATTGAGTGAATTTTACAATTGAATGTTGGTTACCTATAGTTTGTACTCGACTATATGATTCCAACGAGAATTTGATAAACAGATTTTAATAATTTCACTTTCTTTTATTTAGTAAAGATTTAGATTTATTAGGACCCCAATAGAAAAACAATTGTGTTAGAATACTTGTTCTGTCTAAACTATTAAAACACCACTAAAGCTTCGAGAGTCCCTTAGGAAATCTGTTAGAAAACTAATAATTAGATTGTTAATACGAATTTGTTTCAATCAGGTAGTTAGACTTCGAATACTACTCCTTAAAAAAAAAGATTTCACAATACCAATAGGAAAAAACACCACGAAATGTTTGTTTAAGACATTACGTTATTATATTGATGTTATTATTTGGCTCGTGTTATTGAACCGGTTTTTTTTTTGTCAACCGTATGAGTAATTATGTTTAATATCATTGGCTTTGAACAAGACTGCTCCCTTAATATTATTACATAATATGTTTTTTTTATAATATATAATTTTATTTATGGCTTTTCAACCTGACGCCGTTGAATTGTTTTCTAGTTAAACGTCATATCACTGTATATAACATGATAATTTACATAATATAGTTAAGTTTATTTATTATAATAATTGTAGTAGATAACGGAAATAATGTAAAAAAGTGTACAGAATATTATTATGACGTTAGACACACTAACAAGTAAATGACTGAACGAGTGTAGAATGTAGTTATATACTAGTCTTTTGATGTTATTTCTGTAATCTACTACAAGCAAAATCCATTTTTTTTTTTAATGTTATGAACGTTTCCGTTTAAACAAGTTACCACAAAAAATGGTCGATGAATCCCGCTATTACATTTCTTTTGAATATTACAACATAGCGTTCGTAAAATAATGATTATTATGTATTTTAAATTTGTTAAGATTACTATTAACTGAAATATTTGATAATGCTATTACTTATACGTCACGATGTCTGTTACCATAGCGAACAATTTAGTCAATGTTTTATTTCTTGTGTGTAAATAAAATAATATAATACGTCATACAAAATAATATACAAACATGTTTGATAAAATTCTTTATTGTGTTCATTGATTTATCTACATTTAGCCTCGTGGTGACATTTAGAACAACGTTTTTTTTTTTTACATATTTTAAATTCAATTAATATTATTCCATTAGTGGACAGTGTGATTAATGTATTTATTCAATTGACATTATAACCAAAAATTTGGCTAGTTAAATACTTGTTCAACTTTTAAGTTTTAAATACTTACGTATGTCACATGACTTTTAGAACTTACTGTATGTTGACTACAAAAGCTATGCTTTAAAAATGAATTTTATGAAAAGTTAATTCAATAGTGGACAACTGCCAGTACACTGGTCAACGAAAATTCAATTTTTTAACTGACTTTTATGACTATGTTATCATGTGACTATTGTGACTTTGTTTTACTATGTTAGGAACAAGGTTATTGATATTAAAATAGTTCGCATACAAATAGTTTTATTATAATTTGATTTTTTTCAAAAATACCGTTTTTATGACAAAAAATGAGGTTATAATTAGTGTTAAAGTAAACATTTTTTACAAATGGTGTAAAATTTCTCGATTGAGTTTTAAAAGTAATTTCACCACAAATTAACACAAAACTTGTCAGGGTAAGTTTGATACAAAAATTCAATATCTCGCTTAGATAAAACAAAACTTTTATATTTTTTATAGCTGTTGTCAGTACCGAAAAGTAGCATTACAAGTTGTCATACTAAATGGCTTAACACGCGGCACATTTCAAATTAGTTATTGCTGTCAAATCCAATTAGAAATTACCTTCGCAGCTTTTTTTTTTTTAATATTTCTGTTGGCGGAAAATTGGTAGGAAACTGACAAAATCACGTACAACGAACAATCGTCGCGTAAGTACACTACAAACGAATTTTGATTTTCGGGTGAAAACAGTTATCTGTTTATTTTTTCATTTCACAACATCACCGCTATACCTTGCCCTTGTTGCACGTCCCGGCAAGGCGATAACCGTATTGCCAGGCCTTTTCGGACTTGTCTGTGTGTTTTCATGACCAATTGGCATCCAGGGCACGTCGCGCCGCCACGTCCAGCCCGTTTAAACCGTGAACGGTATTACTGGAAACCGGGTTGTGGAGATAAACCAACCCTTTGGGATGTCCGTGTGCGCTCATGCAAGACCGACCGGGGGCAGTTCGGGAAACCGATCAAAGAGATGATCTCCGTCTGGAACAAAGCACAGGCCGACTCAAAGGTATGTACCTGCTTCGCTTTTGGCTTTTCCACTTACAGCGGAACGCAGGACGACAACAAATGAACATTAGATTGTGGGTTTGACTAAACAGCAAACGGATGACGTAAAACGCTTTTAGCACAGGTAAATGTGTTGCTGCGTTATCAGACTACATAATATTAATATGCAAGGTTGCTAAAATGTTTATTTTACCGAAACGGTCAAAGGGGATTTTTTCGGGAGTAAACATTCATTAAAATTAAATAATTTGATGATGTACTTGGAGTGAGTTGACAAACCAATACTATAACTGACGCTTTAATGTGAAAATGCGCATCAAACATTTGACTTTATTATTTTGCTAATTTCTAAGTGTATTCATTGGTATTGTGCTTTATTTTTTAACATTAGTTGAATGTACACCTATTTAGGGAGGGATTTGTACAGTATACATAATACATAATTAGTTATGAACCGATTGGCTGTACATGACTGACCTGAACACCAAATTTGATGAATAGGTTTTCGTAGTGATGAGGTAAAGCAAAATCTTTTATATTTTAAAATATTTTCAGCCAAATACAATAAAATATGATCTTTGTAAAATTGAAATTGGTTAATTTGGCAATCACGTCAAATTATTTTATTCTTACTTGAAGGTCATCGATATAAATGCCGGGTGAATAGATCAGATACTATTAAATAAAAATACAACAAAAAACACATAACATTATAAGTCTAATTTTTTAATGTATACAATAGATTTAACAATAACAAGCTGAAATGTGAGAATCCGCAATTTCTGATTATAAAATATGTTATGTTCGGAAATTAAAATGTTGTTGCTTGAAATCTCAATTATAAATTTGTGGTTTAATTATTTTTCTTTTGTCTATGTTTATTATTGGAAATTGTTTGGTGTCCTTTTATATTTTAATTATTGTTAAATCGCGATTTTTGCTAAATGATTGCTTTTAATTGAGTTATTGGCTATTTATACATTTTTTTGACTTTTACTAAATCTTTAATTTCTATGCAATTTACAGATTGATATGCTTTAAAACGGAATTATTTTATTTGTATTATATGTAATATGTATTTTTTAAATGTACTTGGTATGATGTTTTTTGCCCGGACCGGTTAGGTTTCTAACTGATTTCTTCAAGATTAAAAATCAAACCTAAACGATACTTAATTAGGCAAAACATTTTTTTAAAAAGAACAAGAGCAACGAAACCCCTATAAAATATACATATTTTAAAAATTAAAATTTACTTGGATGAGATATTGTTTAGACATAGTTCTACCTAGCATAAACTTTGGCAACCCAGAGAAAAACAAAAAACTCTTTCCCATTAAAAAAGTTGGAAACTTTTTCTTTATTTAGAGCGTAGTTGTGGAAATCGTCGTCTAAAAAATTATAATGAAGGATACCTAGAGGGGACTATAAAATAAACAAATTTCTCAAAAGTATGTATTCAAACTTTTGTTTATTTAGGAAAACCGAAAAAAAAGAGAAAATTATACTTTGACCGTTATAAATGCCTGTAACAGATTGTTACAGACTAATAATAAAAATAACTACAAATTATTATTAAAAGTTTTTTATTATTGAAATTATGCAAGATAGTTAAAATCTAATTAATTTTTTTTTTTCAAAAAAAATTTATGGTTCCCCTTGGATTTGACCTTTGTAATGTATCCGAGGGAAATTTGTGTATTAATTAAAATGTTGTTTTTTCTAAATGATGATAGATTGGACTACAGTCATTGCACTAGCCAAAAACATATAATAACAGTACTTATTTATTTTGTAAGCCTAATACTAAATCGAAATAGTTATTTTAAAGAATACGTTTTTCTAAAAACTATGTCGATAACATGTTTTAAATATTTGTTTTATATTATTTAACGTCTTTGAGCGTAGATGGAATAGAGGGAGAGAAAATGTGGTAAAACTTTTGAAAAAAGACTACTCTTTATGTGCTCGAAACGTTTTTACACGTGTCTTAAGAGGACGCTGTTTCACTATAAGTATTTCTGAGAAACCAATAAAAAACGTTA